GCAAAAATTTTGAACTATTTTTTGTACATTTTAGTGAACAAACACATTATGTAAACATTGTAGAACATTGTTGAGAATTAGATTCGATTCAATTGAATCTATTGCAAATAAATAATTTAAAAGAGCTTGTTGGATTAACTAAGTATGAAAGTATGAAGACAGATTTACGACTGGTTTCCACCAAAAAGGCAAAGACTTTTGGAAAGTAATAAATTTTCCGCATGAAAAATTGTCTCTTATAGACGCAGTAAATTCCGTTCTCGATATGAAAAACTAGTATTGCAAATGACAGGTTACTATCATATAGGTGTATATGTAGGTTCTGCTATATGTACGGTGGCGAAAATATAAATAGGGACGCGACATTTTTAGTAGTTTTAGCTATTTTTATTTTGTTAATTATTTTTTTTTTTGGTATAGCTTACTATCTAGCAGAAGCCATGTAAGTAAAAATTTAGAGCTTTGTACAATAATAAGGAACATTCGACAAAATTCAACAAAATTACAACAAAATTTCAAACTTTTTATTCTACATTAATAAAATGCAACTTTCAAGTGTCTAAAAGTTACTCGTTAATTTTTGGACTTTTTTTGATGTGCTATGCATTTTTTACGTGCAAAGTATGTAAGCATTTTTTTTTTCTATTGAGAAAATGAGCAACACCTTCAACTAAAAACATGCCAAATATCAGCGGTAAGTCTTAAATATTTCAAGCTTGGATTTTACTATACTTAAATTGACTGGGCTATAAAACTGTATATTTAAAATATTTCTAAGTAATCTAATTAATATCCTCAAAATTTTGGAAAAGCTGAAGAATCGGACTTAAATGATTTCTGTTAGGTAACTAGCTATAATTTCATAAATATACATATATTACACATGAAGGGAACAGATGAAATATAGACATAACTAGCTAAAATATTGCGTCTTTATTTATATTTTCGTAACTGTATGCATTTATGTACATCTGTATGTATAAGTGTATTTGCTCGTATGTATGTCCATAGATACTTGCGATATCTACTTAAATACTTATGACAAAAGTGACACATTTATCGCGACGACTGAAAATGTCGTGAAAGTATTGACAGTTCTCGATAAGGAATAAAATGATGAGTAAAAAGCGACACTTTAATTTTCTTCGTTGATACCTTCAATTTTTCATTTTTGTCATCAAATAAAGGAACAATAAAGGGATCGACAAGACGCAGAAATAATGCAGTAAAAATTCAGATAAATGCTAAGAGAATGCAGCGTTTCATCTACCTCACCTCCAACTATCTTATAAATTGTAGTGGATTTAATTTGTCAAAAACTGGCAAACCACCACACCATTGAGCATTTATATACATACATATGTATAACTTCGCAGCGTTCAAAATTGCAACATCCAGCGCGCAACAATTGCATGGATGCAATGGCATCTGTCGCTTTGCTTAAGCTCGTTTGAACGCTTTACTCTACGAGCAGGTACTAACTACTACTATGGTGGTGCGCAAAAGCTGGACTAAGTTGTGCTGTGCAACTGACAGTTCCCGTGGATTTTGAGCTCTACACAACAGAAAGAAGTTTCCTTTTGCTGCGCGCTGGCCTCGCCTATTTGCTCCTTTGAATGTTGCTGTGTTGCTGGCTGTAAGCGTACAGATAAGCTAAAGATATTGCAGCATTCAATGTTCAATTCGTTGTGGAATTTTTAGCTAGGACAGCGGCAGCGGCAGCGGTGTACGATGTGGCACAGTTGTAATGAATTCAAAGCTGGGTATTCAGTTGTTTTTATCGTTCGTGATAAATGCAGGCAAGGAATAGTGATAAACGAGCGGAAATAGGGGTCTTCAAATACACTCAAACTACTTTTGCTGACTTTACTAAATTTACAGTGGTCAGATTCGTACATTAGAGTAGAAGAGCATACAATATTCTTGAGCACTAAGCCAGTGTCGATATTTAAAGCTTTCTGCTATTTTAGTTTGTTGTTAAATATGTAAGATAATACTAAGACGTTACATATAAATTCGAACCAAAACCTTTAGAAATATACCCGTTTTAAATGTCAGACAGAGTATTGAATTGAAAAGGATTATATTGCAGCATTAGTGAACTTTCAATTCGGATATTTAGCTTTTCATTCTTATTCCTATCATTTGCATAGTATCCACTTTCAAATTGTGTCCCAACATTCACTCTCTACCCCAATATGCTTGCGAAACTCGAACATAGTACTGCGGCAAGCTCTTTTTTTTTGCTTCCTTTCTGTGTTCGCAGATACATAGTTGGATAACAACAAGGTTATAGATTTGTACGAGTGAGTATATTGTTAGCAAGCGAGTAAATAAAGGACGTAAGAAAAAGATAACGTAAGTATGCCAATTGGCTACGAAGGCAAATACCAAATTCGACTTGTGGCCACAAGAATACTGTGACAGCGATTTAGAATCCAGTTAGAGCAAACAGTAGCAGCTTCAACAGAGACTGCACACAAAGACTCCAAAACTCTTTTGCGACTTTAATGTTGTTGCAACAACAATACCAATCACAGCAGTAATATTCACAAAAACGATGGCTGCAACAGTTACAACCATCGCACATATGTATGTATGTAGGTATAGCGTAAAATACATACTTCAAAGGAGTACAAGTTGTAAAGTAAAGGCACAGACTGACGGCAGCGTTCATCGTGACCAATTCGAATTATCTCGGGAAGAAGGCGACAACAAGTACAATTATACTATAAAGTTGATGATAATTGAAGGAGCTTGAAAAAAAATTAGCTGGCCCTAGGATTCGTGGTCTCGCGACTCACTAAATCCGCAATACTCCTGTCTGTGAAGGTACAATTTTGATCAGATCAAATGCGGACCAACGCTGCCGTCTGTCTATGCTATAAGGCTAAATAGCTAAAAAGTTATAAGAAGTCGTGAATTTTCAAGATGTGTACTAAGTATGTGTTTTTAGCTTTTCTGAAAGTATGGTCAGTAGTTGTGAGAGCTGCTCTATAATTTATGTTGACCATGGCACTGGGAAGGATGTCCGTGGCTTTATTTAAGGAATGCCATTGGATGAGTGCGATCTGCATATGTATGTATCTCAGAAGAACTCTGCAGTTGTATTTGTTTTTTTTTTTTTTTATTTATTTAAGATTGCTTTTATTGAGATTATACCTATTAAATTTGGTTCCTTATATGGTCGGAGGTAGAGAGCGTACAACTACACAAAAATCGTAAAGCAATTGCGATTGAGCGTATTAAGAAATGCTTTCGACAAAAAATTTGCAGAAAAATACACATAATGCATGCGGTAATAACCCAGAAGGAGTATATCTTGTCCAACAGAGCTCCTAAACCAAACAGTTTCCTACATTCGTAACGAATAATTTTACAAATTACATTGCGATGACCAATACATTTGGAATGATGACATAGATCTTAAAGCTTTATGCAGCTTTTTTGGAAGAAACACCTACCTCTTTTTGTCTGAATAAATTAATAAGGGTCTCTATAAATAAAGAGTCTAATTGAACATAAAACACAAGGCTCGGTAAAGTGGTTATGGCTACCGGTGAATGCACTCACGGTTCTCTTGGTGACTTACGGCAAGTGTGAGACTACAGGTGAGCATCCTATAGCTGCACTAATTACTACTACTAGAAATCATTTAAAATCACTTAATGGTCATTTTACATAAAAAAAAAAAACTATAAGACTTAAGATATCACAATGTTTAACACGTCTTGTGAATCCCCTAAGTATTGTATTTGGGATATAGAATTCCGGAAAATGGTCTCGTTGAATAAAAAAATTACCTTGACTTTTAAAATGATTTTGAAAAATAGTTTTTTATTTTTCCCTTTTTTGAGACATGCAATGAACTTCTAAAAGAGTTTTAAATACATATTTCTCTCACTCTTCATGCGGCAAGGAATCCAGTTCTATGGCCGTAGGAACCAAAAAACGAAATAATTTTTTTTTTAAGTTTATTACATGCTTTCTTTAGGTCACAAATAGAAAAAAATAATAATTCAAAAATTTTACTTTTGAAGCTTAGTTTTATGGCCAATCGGAACTTTCAAAGCTAATTCTTCATATCATGCAGAACTTCGCATGTTGTTTCTTTTGTGGTTCTAATCTACATTCATACGAGGTTTCGAGGGCAAAGGGCCATACAAAATTTTTTGATCCAAGGGACCTTTGGTGGGCTACTTAATACCACAAAAAGAAAGTCTGTGAAATTAGCCAACTTTTCCCTAATTATTTTGAATTTTCCCAACTTTTTTGTCTTTATTTCCCGGACAATCTATCGTAGAAAAAAATTATTATTATTCGTGGTTATGAAGCATTCATTTGTAAGTATGTATGTACACACAAACTATTAAATATGTATAACCCCATCGACATACTCATTCATCATTTAATCTGATTTGCGAACTCAACCGCACAACTGCCACATTTGTCATTCAATAGGTTCATTCCTTATCTTTTTGGACTAAAATCTGAAAAGTGTCAAAATGCCAGAGCGTAAGCAAAATGCGCTCACTAAAAGAGCGTGACAGGAAAAGTAAAGGAACGCAAAAAACCAAATTTTTAGTCCAAAGAATGGCAACAACAAAACTAACGTCAAATAAGAACAGAAATGTATGTATGTACAAAACACTTTCACACAAGCACAAGCACAATAAACACTTGCTATATCAATTATTTTTTGCCTTCTTCCAATTTCAATTCAATTCATTTCTTTTACTTTTTAGATTATTCTCACTTTTAGCGTATTCTTTAATTTCCGTTAATTTAAATTCAGTTGAGTTTGACACTTTTCAGGATTTTGCCAGAAAAAATTCTTCTGACTAAATCTGACTACTTCGGACTGATGAGAGTCGCTCTCACTGACCGTTGCTCTCTCATTTTTGCTGTCATTTCCGAGTTAAGGAACGCTTTTTGGACTAAATCTGACTACTTCGGACTTTTTCTGACTATTTCTGGGAGATAAGGAACGCGCATAATATGAAGTGCGCTGTACTATATTGCAAGAGCTCTATCAAAGACAGTACAATAAATTTTCATAAATTCCCAAACAACCAAGAGTTGTTCCAAAAATGGGCGGACTTTTGCGGCCAAGCAGTCGGCAGAAATGCAAAAGTTTGTAGTGAACATTTTCTGCCAGATGATTATGAAGGAAGCTTAAAAGTTGAAATGGGTATGTAAATTTTGGGGGTTGGGTTCCGAAAAGTATCTGTTTGTTCGAGGAACCCTGTAGTCGGAGAAGAAAGTGAAGCATCCCATTGAATTCTTTGGTCTTTCCTCTTTCAAGCTGGTGGCACACCCCTTCTTTTTTTTTTTTTGTACCAGCCTCCATAGCCTCGAACTAGCAGACACCATTCGGAACATTTCTCAATTTTTAATAAACTATCATGCTTTGATTAATCGAAATTATTTTACAGGATTCGGAAGATGGCGCTACCTTAAAAAGGGTGCTGTACCGTCCGTTAAGAAAAATCAGATTGCATCCTTAATTACAACCCTGAAAAAGCCATGGCCATCACAAAGTAGTACTCTACCACAGACTTCAACAAAAGCAGCAGCCATTTCGCATAAAACATCAGAGGCTGAAACGCAGAACAAACCATCTACCGCTGCGAAACCTGTAGTTAAGGTTGCATATATTTTGCCAAAGGCTTTAAATAAACCAGCAAAAGCTTTGTGCCACACCACGCCAGTAACATATGCTTCACCTACCATTTCGTTGATGACTGCACCCTCTCGTGACCTCAACTGTACAATAGATTACTTGGAAAACAAAGTGTTAGTTGAATCTATACCCTGCAAATCATTTTTTCAGAGTATTCTGAATTGTAGAGAAATTTTTAAGAATTCTTAAAGATCTCATCTGATTTCTTGTCATATTTTCTGTCATACTTAGATTTTTTTTTAAGAAATTTCGCAAAAAATCGGTAAATCAGTGAAAATAATGCTGCCATGTAAAGAATTTCTTGCAGCATTTTTTGAGAATTTTCTTAATTTTTCGTACAGTAATTTCTTTATGAGCTCGTGTCGCCACTTCATATAATTTTCTTTAAAGATTCGTAAAAAATCGTAACAGAAATGAGATACTCCGAAAGATTTCTGGAACTTTGATTTGCAGGCTATTTATGTTTATGCAGTATGTTTTTTTTTATAGTGAAACGGCAAAGAAAGATGCAGAACTGAAAACGAAATTTCTGGAAGAGAAAATGTAAGTGTACTACACACGTGCAAAATTGATATATGCGAAAGCAATTAACTTGTATAAATTCCAACAGCGAAGCGCTTAAGACTGAAAATCAACGTTTGCAACAATGCTCGAAATTGAGGCTAGAAGAAGCCACCCGTTTGGAACAGCAAATGTCAGTAACGTACAATATATAGACTAGATAGAATGTTATATTAAAAAAAATCTATTCAAATATTTTGCAGTGTAACGCTAAGACAGGATAAATTTAAATTAGAATTGGCATCAGTTAAATATGAAAAGGAAAAAGCTGCTTTGGAGATGCGCGTTAAGAGAGCCGAGTTCGAGCAAAGAAATTTGGAGCAGAAACTGCAAACGATATTCACTCCTAAACAGATTAGAATGATAAAAAGTGGAAAGACCCAACGCTGGAATGAAGAAGATATTAAGATGTCCATTAAACTATATAGGACTAGCCCCAAAATGTATATTATGCTAAAGGAAAAGAATTATCCGTTACCTGGTGTGCGCACCATTCAAATGTGGTGCCAAATGAAGAAAATTCAAATCGATGGAACTGAAGATGACGCGGATAAAGAAATTCCAAGCAGTACCGTAAAAAATGGAAATCAAACAGAAGAACAGCCCGTTGATGATTTAGATAATGAAATGATTACAAATGATATGTTTGAAATTGAAAGGATCGATGAGAACGTTGATGAGGCGACTGTGCATGGTAGTACAGAAGAGGAAGAAAATACTGCAGTAGAAAAGATGTGTGATGATGGAGATGAGGTGAGCAGTGACATGGATGCTGCTTTCAAGTTGATAACTTATGATTCAGATGAAACCATAAGTGCTATAGAAGATGAACACGATATTACGGATGCAATTTCATTTGATCACACGGATAAGGCAAATGAAAATAGTATACTAACAGTCGAAAGTCCCGGTATTGAGGTTCAAGAATTCATTATTCCGTGATGGCTGGATGCTCTGGAGGTTATGGAAATTTCAAACAAGTAAATGAAGAAATAAAGCGGTTAAGGTAATAGGTTTTTTCGCCAATTGGATTTAGCCTTGTATTTAAAAGGCCAAATTATTTATAACTCGTTTCAGACATTATAAATGATGAGGAAATTTTTGGCAGCTCCAAGTAATTCCAATCGTGGTAGCGACTTAGTTCTTAATGGTGCCACTCTGGACTTGGCGCTCCACAGCGCCACCGTAACCTCGTCCAGCTCATTGACGGTGCGAATGTACACGCATGCCCCATAAGCCCGCAGCGACGCATCACAAAATCCGTGTAATTCGACTCGGGCAGGACCATTTTTCGCCAAAATATATCGTGGTACTCGTATATCTTTGACCAAAGGCAGTTTCTCGCGAAATCTGATCCACTGAGCGTTATCCTCCAATGGTAGGGATTCATCCCAATGTACCTTTATAATCCACAGATTTTGCAAAAAGATCTTAGCCTTTACGATTATGGGGTTTATTAGACCGAGAGGATCAAACAGACTCGCAATCTCCGCCAGCACAATCCGTTTTGTCACCGGTTTATCCATTTTCAGCTCCGGCCAATCATAACGAAACACATCGGAAGTGGGCTCCCATATAATACCGAGAGTTTTGATGATTTCGGCATCGTTCATAAGCAGTGGCTTCTCTTGATCATCCGATGGCACTTTCTTCAAAAATTCACTATTATTCGAGTACCATTTACGTAGCTCAAACCCTGCAGAACTTAAAATCTCGCTGACCTCCGAGTAAATTTGTTGTAGCTGCTCATCGGAGTCTGCACCTGATATCAGATCATCCATATAAAAATCTGATAAAACCTTGTTTGCACCATATGGAAACTTCTCTGCGCACTGTTCACCAAGTGCCTTTACACATCTTGTCGCCAGATATGGCGCGGACGCCGTTCCGTACGTGATCGTCAATAAGCGATATACTTCAATATCTTCATTTGGGGTTGGCCGCCACAATATACATTGATAAAATGAATCCTCTTCACTCACCCAGGCTTGCCGATACATTTTCGTCACATCCGCTGTTATCGCATACTTATAGCATCGAAAGCGCAACACGATCGCTAGCAAGTCATCTTGTACAATGGGTCCTTTGCACATTACATCATTCAAAGAGAGCCCCGATGAGGTCTTACAACTGCAGTCAAACACTACCCGCAGTTTAGTACTTGTAGATTCTGGCCGTAACACAAACGTATGCGGTGCAAGGTACTTTACCTTTTCCCTGGAATCCCTTGGTACCAGTGCCATATGCCCCAATGCCAAATATTCCTCTATGAATGCATTATACATTTTTTCGATTACTGGATTATTCCTTAGTCTCTTTTCAAGGAGCAAGAATCGTCGTAATGCCGCTTGATTTCAGTCGCCTAGCTCAGCGACATTTTCTTTAAATGGAATCCTTACCACGAAGCGCCCAGTGTGATCACGTCTAGATTCTTTGATAAAAATCTCTTCACACAGTGCCTCGTCCGCTGTTGGAAACAGTGTTTTTGCATCAACCTGTCCCATCAGCCAAAATTTCTCTACAAGGGCCGTCAGTTCCTCTTCAACACCTGGTTGCTTGGATGATGTCATCATTAAGCTGCTCCTAAGCCTCTCGTTGGAGTCGGCTCGATTTGTCACACCTGACACGACCCAACCCAGCACAGTTTTCTGCAATCGCGGCAGACTCGCTTTCAGCGTAATTCGGCCAACCGATAATAAGTCCCAAAAGATTTCTGCGCCTAACAGTACGTCTATACGGCCAGGCTTGTTGAAATTCGGATCTGCCAATGATATGTTACTAGGGATGCCCCAATCATCTGCATTCATAAATTGGTCTGGCTTAAACGACGATATTTTTGGCAACACATAAAACTCAAGTGATGTCTCGTAACCACCAATCCTTGATTTGACGCTTGCCTGCACTTTTCTTGTAATATTTGTGCCACTGTCTGCAATGCTGTGCGCAGTCATGATTTAGTTGGGACGCTGAATCCAAAAGCGCACGAGCTTGGATTTCCGGTCCATTTCTCCCCTTGATACCAATTACCGCCGTTGCCAAAATAACATCCGCGCCTTCATTTTGCATCGTAGCAGGCACAGCAACTTGACTTACCGTAGCAGCTTGCGTCGTGCCTGGTGCGTCGATCGTCTTCACCTCTACGTTGTTTTTATGCAGCATCTATACACCGTTTCGCTTGACAGCTACTGGCCTTATGACCACTTTGCAAACACACGAAGCACAGCCTCAAATGTCGTGCCGTTTTGCGCCTCTGTGGAACCTTCTGAGCCTCAAATTTACGGCAGCTTTCTACGTTGTGCCCGTCCTTTCGACAAACTTCGCATCCACCTTTCTCTATAGCCAAAACGTTTTTTTACAACCAACCGCCTTGCGATTAGCTTTGCTTCCATCGTCCTCGTTCTCGCCACAGCGTGCCGTTCTTGTCTCTCGAGCCTCCATATTTTCACATCTCTTAGTCAACACTGCGGAGCATTCATCCCAAGTGGATAGCCTTGTATAGTCGATAGATTCCTCCCACTTTGCCAAGGATTCCTCATCTAATTTCGTTGCTACAAGATAGATGATCATAGCATTAGTTATGTCTTTATAATTACCAAACGACAGCATCGCGTTTAAATGAGTGTTCACTGAGTCAATCAATTCCCGCAAATCGCTCGAGCTCGACACCTTTTTCCCAGAAAATAATGCCGCAATATGTTCCTCGAACATTAAATTTTTTTTATCGAAGTTACTCCTCAGCCGGTCAAGCGCCTTCTTATAATTTAAACTGGTAATCTCGAATTCATCAATGGCGTGAAGTGCTCGTGCGGATAAATTATCTTTAAGAATTAAAAACCGCTCGCAATCGTCCAAGGTTTCATCTTGATTCACCATCTTATGGAAAGTCGCCATAAATTTCGGAAACTCCGAGTATTTTCCATCGAATGTTGGTAGTTTTATATGACGCCTCATTGACGATTGCGGAATCGCCGCCGTTGTAACGTTAAGCGCACTTGCCTCGGCATCAACCCGGCTTGCAGCCAGCCTCTCTTTTATTTTCGCCTTAGCTGCAACGTAAATATCCTCGATGTCTGCCATTGCCTTCTCGTGGGACTCACATTCCGATGGAGTACACAGTCGAAGTATGCTGGTACTAATCGACAATGCCTGCTTGAAGTAGGCTTCCAAAATATCTAACCTGCAACCCAGCTCCTCGATAGGAACATTCTTCTTGCTGACCGCTGTTTTAATTCGAGTTATATTTCCCTTGGTCGACGAGCGCAATTGTTTATACTCCGACAATTTTTCAGCTTTGGTCAGATCAACCTGTTGCTCCATTTCATCTTCATTACCCATATTTCTTTGTTACTTTGCAAGAATTACTCCAAAAAATTTTAAGAAATATTCGGCTCTTGTCGTCTTTTTTTGCAATTTAACTAGTTTTTTTCCCCGTGTAAATTAAGATGCGCTCGATCATACGATCCAACAATAGGAAACTGCCGTTGCTAAATCTTTTGTTTCTTGTTTTCTAGTTCTTTCGATTACCGCTGACTGAGAACTTCTCTGCCTGCGTCGACGCTTCGCTGCCAACCTCAACTCCAACACGTTCACGTGTTCGTCGTATGCACCGCTTTTAATAAACTCAAGCTGCTGACGTTCCTTCGTTGTTGTTGCTCGAAGAATTTGCAATCGAATTCTACGTACCTAGTACATGCATATGTACCACCAATAAGTTCTTGTTCACGCGTTAACTTACGAAGTTTGCTTCCTATGACGATTTGAATTTCCTCGCCAGAATCCTGGTCACGGCACCAATGTTTCGTTGCAAGCTTTTTTGCAACGCCCGAACCCAATTAAAAGTCAGGAATTTTGCTTTCCAGCAGTATAAAATATATTAACTTCAAAATTGTATAGAAATTCGCGTCCGTCGCGTTCAACTTATTGGTACATACTATTTCTCTGTTCTTCTCCTATTTCCATTTTGACATTTCTATTAACCCTACAGTAAGCATGTAAGCTTCATACGTAAAAACACAACAGGTGTTATGGTTTCGTCATTTTCGTATTTACCTGCACAGGAAGTGTTTACTGCTTGTTTGATGGGTGTGGCGTTTTTGTATTTACGTGAATTCGCTGTTGAATGATCATTGGCAGTAACGCTTCCTATACGCGGATAATCGGCCACTTTCCCAAATGTTGGATTTGCTATAGTACAAATGTGATTCAATAATTGCATCTCGTAGGCCTTTAAACGGCATTTCCTTCAATTATTGCAACTTTACCTTCAAATGTATTCAACATCCTCTTCGGTGGGGTAGCGCCTTCATCCGATGATTCCTCGTCTGAGATGGTTTCAACTTTAACTGTTTGAATGCTTACTGCTCGGTTAATTGGTCTGGCGTTTTCATCGTTTAACAGCAACCTTCGATAGTTTTCCACATTCTTTTCAAATGCTTTCTTCTCAATGCTCATAAGGTTAGCAAACGTTTTTTTATTCATATTGCCTGGGTATTTGGAGGTACAATCGCTATTATTTTCAAATCTATCAACAATTTGTTAAAATGCAATTTCCAAACAAACAACAAACATCAATAAAGTCCGGTCGCTTGTGTTTTGATCACTTTCTACTTACACATCGTTTGCACGCGGCAGTATTAATTTTTTAGAGCAGCTGTTAAGGTGCGGTTAAACATTGAAATGCAAACACTTCTACGGATTTTGCTTCCGAAATGCGAAAGCGAAAGTCTAGTTGCACGCGTAAGCACACAAAAATCCTTTTTGCAGAATTGCAAAAATCATTTTCGGAAATAAAAATTGCAAGATGTAACTGCAACTGAAATTACGCAAATTGAATTCGAGAAATAATTTCAACTTCCTCGTGCTGCACCAGAAATTTTCGTTTTTGCTGCAAGTGCCGCCAACCCAATCGAATGTTGCCGTGTGACTCTGCTTCAAAGAATTTTACGGAATGAGAAAATAGCTGACTGCTGAAAGCAAGCGAGAGCCCGCAAACCGCTCGGTTTGCGAGAAAAAGTATCTTTTGCGGTCTACACGTGCGGGAACTCACATGCTTCTTCGCGCAAGCGTGATTTTCAAGCACTGAAGACGGCCTGTGCGTATTTTAGCATTTTTTTATTCTACTTGAAAAATTTACTTCAAATACTAAAATATGCACAAAACAGCCACGAAATGTCGAATGCATTAATACTTCATATTAGTAGAGAATAAAATAATCAAACGGTTCTTAACATTTTATTCAATCCCCCCAATTCTTAATATTTCCGGGGAGTTTGTTCTCCGGGAATTTGTTTCTCCCGAGAAAGAAATCCTCCAATAATTAACTCCCAAGGAGTAGCATTTTCCCCGAAAATTTTGGAGTTGACAGGTCGACTCCGCCGTTTAATTTAAGAAATCCTCAGGTAAGAGAGAAAAACTCCCAGGAAGTTTCTGTTCAGAATCGCCCTGAATATTTTTACAATTCTTAATAATTCCTGGTATTTGTTCTCCTGGAGTTTGTTTTCCCGAGAAAGAAATCCTCCAATAATTAACTCCCAGGGAGTAGCATATCCCATAAATTTGGGAATTGCCATGTGACAGGGCAACACTCGATTGGTTTGACGGCACTTTCATCAGAAATGAAAATTGCTTGCTCCTGGCAAGTTGAAATCATTTCTGGAAAGCGACTTAAGGTGAAAATAGGCAAGAACGCAGAAATTATACTTAAACGCTGTCTGTATACGCAGAATTTTGTCAAGAACGCAGAAATTATACTTAAACGCTGTCTGTATACGCAGAATTTTGTCAATTACTGGAGCCCACAGTGTTGTTTACTGCAGTGCTGCCAGTCATCAATGTCTATTCATAAACTTACCTTTTCAACTACAATTTTTCGTGCTATAATAGTTGCTAGCTAAATATAAACTACTTATTTTTCAACAAAAAACCTCATTCGATAGTAAATTTCAAATAATTTAAACGTATTTTGAATAGGAACTTATAACTTTTTTACCAACTGCAAAACTGACGACTCGCAACCATCTACAGAAGGAAGAAATAAGCTGACACGGAAAAATCTAAATTCCGCAAATTCCGCAAACTTCTGCGTTACGGGCTACAACTACAGAAATATTCTGCGGTGTTGAGTTTTCATTTACATGGCGCTCTGATAACACAGATCGTGTTAGCTGACTCGGGTTTACGTACCGGCAGGTTCACGTTCTTGACTAATTTCACCTTTACGTTCGTTCGGTTGCAGGTATTAGTAAATTTCAGCGCATTTAAAGTTTTCAAAATTGGCAAAACCAAAGTAGAGGTTTACGGAATGCGCCACCTTTGTACGCTACATCGTGCGGTAATTTGGAAGTCAAGCCATCAGCTGAGCACAGTTAGAGTACAATTCCTCAACAAGCTTTTCAGACGTTCCGCGCTTTTTAGGTCTCAGCGAAAACTGATTTTCGTTTGACAGATTTTACATGGACGAAAACACAAGTTTTAAGTCGAAAACCAGTTTTAGCAACAAAAACATGTTTTCGATGTCGGTCAGAACATGGTATAAGAATGAAAGGAAGAGGTTGTAAATGAAAAGAAATTGAAGGAAAAGTATTTAGGTTCTGTTTTTGTGTAGCAAAACTGTAATCAAAAGATGTAAGAAATGTGAACGAAAACGTTAACAGCCGGTGTGAACAGCCTTCAGCCCACAATCCCAAAACTCATTTTCAAAGTGTTTTCGTTGTCGGTCAGAACATGGTATAAAAAAAGAATCAGATGTGTTGCACTAATGCCTCACAGCTGAGATCACCTGATTTTATTTGCTACAGGGTTACACTAATATCTAAAAAAAAAAAACTTTAAACAGACTCGTGACAAAAACAGCAAAAAAGTTCTATTAAGCGTAATAGTTATTGACCAAAACGCTGCAAAATACTAAAATGGCATACAAATGCAGGAATCCATTTAACTAAATGCATATTTTGCCAGTCTTTTACTTTATTTTAATAACTTTTGCCCCTTTTACATCACTTTAAACACCCTGTCTAACATTTTGGCAGGATATTTTCATGAACCAAAAATATAAATGTCTTTCGTTCATGTCTTTCGATATTTATACATTTTGACAGGTACTTTCCAGGTAGCTTCCAGGCGGTTTCCAGGCAAAAGAAGAACATTTGTCAATTGTAAACAATTGTCTACAATGTTTGTATATGACAACATCGAATTTGATGCAGTTTGAGCAAACAATATAAGGTTCATTCCTTATCTTTTTGGACTAAAATCTGAAAAGTGTCAAAATGCCAGAGCGTAAGCAAAATGCGCTCACTTAAAGAGAATAACATGAAAAGTAAAGGAACGCAAAAAACCAAATTTTTAGTCCAAAGACACAACAACAAAAACAACAAAACTAACGTCAAATAAGAACAGAAATGTATGTACAAAACACATTCACACAAGCACAAGCACAATAAACACTTGCTATATCAATTATTTTTTGCCTTCTTCCAATTTCAATTCATTTCTTTTACTTTTTAGATTATTCTCACTTTTAGCGTATTCCTTAATTTCCGTTAATTTAAATTCAGTTGAGTTTGACACTTTTCAGGA